CCGGCCTGCGGCAACAGGGACGAGGAATGGCCAAGTGGTGGGCAGCCGGGGCTGGAAGAGGCCGACTGGTCAGAACTGCTGCTGGATACCCATCAGCTCAAGGGACAGACTGGGGGTCGGTGGGGTTTTGTCCGGTTACAACCATGAACTGGGTGATGTCTGGGGAATGTATAACTTTGCCACGTCTGTTTTCTCATCCCACCGGGGAAACTGCAAACCTTCTCTGTGCTAGGAAACTCCTCCTCCAAAGAGGGAGGAGGAGGGAATCTGTGTGAAGAGTCTGAAAAGTAAATGGCCATGTGTTTTAATTCTAATGTAATGTTATACCTGCCCGTTTGTCCGTATGCATCGATCTCAGATGCTCTGAGGCTCCGTAGGAGTGAGTGTCAGAGCACACCGGCCTCTGCACGATCTGCCTCCCCTTCAGCAGGCCCGTGGGGCAGTTCTGTGGTTTGGCATCGTTCAAGTGAACGTGGGACTCGGTCCTGCGCCGAGGGACCAGCGCGTTGGAAGGAAGAGAGCAGCCCTTCTCCTGGACAGGCAGCGCTGGGGATGAGCAACACCAGATTTCTGCCTAGAAGGTCTCTTACGGTGACTTGTTGTGACTTTGTTTTGCACGATCGGCTCAGATGCGTGTTTGGGGAGATACCATTTGCTCCATTCCCCGGCCCTTCGTAAAACTCCAAGGTGCTGTTCTAAGAAGACAATGACTCTCCCTTTTCTCCGCCCAGGATTTAGTCGTGGACGATAAAAGGGGCCGTAGTAAACTTAGAACCTGGCCGGTCTGGTTTGGGATTTGCTCATTTCCATCCGAGTGCTACAGCTGAGCTGACGTTTGTTTTCACTGTTCGTTTTTTGAGACTGGATTTGTAATCAAAACCCAGGAATCTCTAACCTGCTGGTTGCAAATTATACAGTTAAAGGCAAATGCAGGCTGTGCAGCCAGCAAGGTGGAGGGCAGCCAAGATCCATCCAGTGCCGGGGAGGACAGGAGAGCACTGAGGCCCCTCGATGGGACTTCCTGGGTCCTCAGCCCGAGGGAAATCCACCCAGAAACCCGACAGAGAGTCAAGGCCGCTGAGATGGCAGCGTTGTTCCTCGATGACCAACAGCCAGCTGTATGTATCACACAGATGTGTTTTGCATTTCAAGGTGTTTCTCTGAAGTTATTCCTGATGAACAACCTACACTGTCCGGCGAGACCGTGAGACAAGGGGAGTCACCGACTGGCACCGCGGCCGAGGCGAGACTTGCCGTGCTGGTAGGATTGTGTCCACGTTAGTCCTGCAGATAACACAGCGTTAGACCACAGCCTTATCCGAGTACTGGCTCCTCAGGAGATGCATCCTGCTGATGGCCACGGGTCTTCCCAGTACAGAGTCAGGTACCCTCCTTCGTACGTCTGACGCGGGGCTGCGAAGGGTCTCCTGGCCCGGGTCGGGATGATGGAGCTGTACAACGTGCAATGGTTCTTCAGTCCCACTTCTTTATAAAAATCCCGTTCCACCACGCTGCAACAACTGCCTCTGGGTTCTGAAAACCAGCTCCAGCTTCTGTAAAATCTTAAGACCATGACCGTGGTATGCTGCCTTCCAGAAGCTACGTGGAACCACCAAGGAGTTTGCCAAAGACTTGCCCCTGATGGCTGCCTGACTGTTCTTTGCAGCCAGGAAAATAACCAAAGTTCTCAAATGCTGCCATTTCACTCTGCAAACAGAAAGGCTTTGGAAGATCCCGGTCACAAGCTGTGTAAGAGTTGGACCTGCTCTGAAAATTGGTCACTCAGTGTTTACAGCATGTCTGCAATTCAACTGGACCTCGTGGAACACGTTCCTGAAGCTTTTATGGGAGAAATGGCGACCTGCCAAGCAAACTGCCTCTTTCTCACAGAGGTTCGATGCTAATCGATGTGACTGACTCTTGTTCTGTTACCTGTTCAGATTTATCTCGATAGATGGTGTCTGACAAGTCCAGCACGTTACAATATCAGCAGAGAGAGAAAAAAAAACCAGTAACATCTCCATTCTTTTAGTTCATTACTTTCAGCCATGTATAATTATAGTTTAATTCAGAACTTTATTTTTCCATTAAAACTGTTTTAATGAACCATGGTTTTTTCTTAAACGTGACACAAGTGAACAATGGCTTTGTTTCATTCTGAACGCGGGTGCTGTTGTGATTTACTGGTGTGTGAAGCAGTTGTGCCAGGTGGCAGCAAGACTTGATGCTTCAAGGACTCTTCCCTAAACGACACACACGTCAGGTACGGATGGGAAGCGGAGATGGGAGGCAGGCGATGCCCGTGGGCTCGCTGACAGGGACTTGCTGAAGGGTGTGAAGGCTGGTGTGAGCCCTGGGGCAGAGCATTTGGGTCAGGAAGCCTGAAGGCAAGCTTGGTCTGTAGAAGCCAGGCATGGGGCAGGGCAAATCATGCCAGGCGAGGCTGCTGGCCAAGCTGACCCCACGCCTGTCCGCTGTGCCCAAGAGCCAGGTCTCTGCTGCATCTGCTTCCCAAAGACTGGCCTGTGCTGCCAGACCCAACCCCAAACCCCTTTTAAACCCTCTGGGAGCTGGGCTCCTTCCCTCCCACCCCTACCCCACTGAGGACCCCAAACCACCCAAGGGATGCTGGTCCCTTGGTGCCACCCCAGCTCCTGTACGTGCTGTGACCCCGAAGGCACTGCTGCTCAGCCAGCTGCTTCCAAAGCAGCAGCCTCAACACCCTGGCAAACTTAAAAAATGGCTCTGCTCTTTGGAAATGGCACTGGATCATATTAGAAGCTAAGCTCTGGTTACTTCTACCATCTACTTTAATTCTATTTGTAAATTTGTATTATATAGAGTGATAAACAGGAGTCCTGGAGGAGTTGTAGCTGTAAAATGTCAGTTTCCCACAACGCAGAAATGGTGTTGATAGTGGCGGTTTCTCAAGTGAGGCTGTTCTCACAGTCTCCTTAAAACTTTGCACTGAGAGAAAATAAGGAAGAGAGAAGGAGGAGGTGGGCTGGAGTAAATATTCAGAAAGAGGCCGGCCCAGCACCTGGCTCCACAGGAGGAGACAGGCAGGACAGGCAGCGGACTCCACCGTGTGGACACAGTTCAATGCCTGACAACCACGAACACTGCGGGGAATCAAGAATGGAGCTCGCCCATGAACATTGCTGCAGAGAAGAACATTGACATTCAGATCACCAGAACACTGGTCACAGTGAAAATCCTGCACCAGGAGCTGATCACACCTCAAGAGTTTTGTTTGTTTTTTAATAAAACAAGTGAAATCTCCTTAATTGTCTGAAGTTTTTTCAGAGGAGGGGAGCATCTCTGAATTTCACACTGGCTCAAATAAGTCTGCTTTTGGAAATCTAATTCTTCTGTTGCAATGACTTAAGCAAAGAGAACCACAGTTACACAGAAAGAGGGGCCAGGTACGTGCCAGGAAATGATTTGTGGGAGTAGCTGTCAAGGATGACAGTGCTCTGCCACGATCTGTTTTTCCTTCCCCTCTGTCTCTCAGGTGTAAGCGATGAAGGCTGTTCTCAGACTCACCAAGAGCAGAACTGGAGGAACAGCCACGATGATTCCTTTTCCCTATGGAAAAGCCGGGGTGGTGCTGACATACACAGTGTGTGGTACATACTCTAGGGCTGCTGTTTCCATCTGCTCTGTCACTAGGCCAGGACTGCCCTTTTCACTGGTAAATCACTGGCATGGCTTCTACACAAGATTAATCCAATGGATTTATGGCATAAGTGATGCTTTTTAGAAAGGGCAGCTGAATTTTACATTTTCAGCTCTTTACCCATCTCTCCTCGCTTTGGTCTGGTCTACTTGCATAAACTGTGTTCCTCTGTTTTCTAGAAATAAATTAGATGGGAAGAGAGAGAGCTGCAGCATCAGAATCAGATTAGTTGCTGTCCTTCTCCCCCACTTGCTTTCCACATGTCTTGGAAACCTTGATAGTACCTGGTTCTAGGTGGCAGAAGAATTAATAAGACTATTATACTCTGTGTCCTTGTCTGGAATAGAAGTATTTGAAACAAGCTGCTGGATGGATTCATGCTGAAGAGGTCCATGTTACTACAAAAGGCAAAGAACTTAATTTCAAACATACTTGTTCTCAACAAGTACATTTCAAGTACAGGTTTGAGACAGAAAACGATCTCTGACTTCTTTCCAACAAAAGGATTTACACAGAGGCCTTCCAGGAGCTGGCCACAGAACTTAACTTCCCCTCAGGAGCAGGAAAACGTACATTACCTACCCCAGCAAGTATGTGGAGAGGTGAGAACAACAGGTCTTCTTCCCTGCTCAGTTCAAGAAGGTACATGTGATAGTGCACAAATGGAGCGTGGCTGCAGGAGGGGTGGTGCTCAGCGCCCGCTCGCACAGCCTCGGCACAAAGCACTGCGCACGCAGAGTCACGTTGCTTTATTGGTTACTGAGCCACAATTCAGAGTAGTATTGCCTTGGAGCCACCTGTAGAAGCAGGTTCTCTCATTTTGTCTCCTAACATAATTGGTAGGACACCACCTGCTATACAGATAGTCAAAATAAAAATGTCTCTGTTCACCCTTGTAGCGTCCAGGGAAAGGTTGGGTAGTTTCCGTTGACCCAGGTATCGTAACAGAGGCGCACGCTCTCCCCAGATTAGCCATCTGCATCGATTCTGTGAGCTGTCAGATGAGAACAATCAATGGACACGTGCCACTGCTGTCAGACAAGACACATCCTAGCTTGAACTTACCCCTGTACCAGGGAGAGACAGGAACATTCCTGGCTGCTAACTGAACGCGGTTCATATACACCTCCAATGTACTTATGGGAGCTTTGCAAGCTGGATATGCTTCTTAAATTGGGCCAGGGAGCTGGTCTAGAGTAAACACGAGGTTTGTGCCCTTTAGCCAACTCCTCAGACCTACAGGGGTACCAGCAGAACTTGTCACTAGCAGGTATCGGTTTCACAACATTATTCTGGCAGGAAAAGTGTTTTGGCAGGTAGATAAATGGGGCTGAGGAAGAAATTGGCTCAGGCCTGCAACTTCCCTTCATACATTCAATTCAGTCCTCAAAGGGCAATGCAATGCTGTGAATTGCCTGGCAAGGACACCAGCAGCTGTAGGAGGCCTCTGCTTCTACCTCCAGTTAGATATATAAGGTATAAAAGCTGCAGTGATGCTGCTGAGCTCTTTTAGGTCATTCTCCAGAGGCCTCAGTCCATTTCTGAACCCCTGAACCCCAGCTCTGTGCCTCGCCACGCAGAGCCGAAGCAATCCTCTACTAATTCCTGAAGGAAGAAGCAGGGTGGCTCCTGCTACTTACATTGCTTTGGTATCCTAAGTGCCTCGTTGTCAGCTGACATCACTTGGTGTAGAACTCCTCGGAACTGATAAAGCACTTTCAAACTCTTCTCCTCACCCACGCAGGGGTCATAGAAACCCGGCAGCCCAGCCTTGAACCAGAGAAGGACAAACTGAGCATCAGAGAATGGACTTTCTCAGCTCTTCAACTGACCAAAACAATTTATCAGGGCCAGAATGAGCTGTCGTAATGGTTTTTTTAGAGGAGATGAGACAAGAAGCTAAGGAATCGCCTTCCCAGTGGCAACTTCTAAATGCATAAAGGAGTGAATCAAGGGGGTGGGAAGTTTCTGGTGTACAGCCCCAGAGTCTGTAACACGCACTGTCCCGTGCCACAAATACGGACACGCTGTTTCTTTGGCACTGGAAATGCCCAGAGAAACAGAAGTTCCTGGGGGTTCATCACACTGGGTACGTAAATGTGGTCTGTAGTGATCCAGAGTCACCAGCTTCAAGCACACTGGAGAAATCCCAGAATCACAGAATGTTGGGATTGGAAGGGACCTCAAAAGATCATCCAGTCCAACCCCCCTGCCAGAGCAGGAACCTCAATGAGATCACACAGGAAGGCGTACGATTAATCCAAACTCTGTGTCACATGTGAGCTCTTGAGTTTGGCTTTGACAGAACAGCTACGTACCTTGGATGCCTCTGTAAGGATGAGTTTAGAGTCTTTCACCAGGCACTGCAGGGGCACAGTCACATCTATTACTTTCACCTTCTCATTCTTCCTGCTGTTGTCATTAACAAACTTCCCATACCAGGCGTTCACTACGATCAAACCTGCGTTTCACATGAAATCACAGATGTGATGAAGGGCTTCCCACCGACATCTAGGCAGACACTGAGGAAAAATCTTTCCCAGCATTTTCTCTTGCTTACAATATTTAAGTTCTCCCTGCCTGGACCCGTGCTTCTCAAGACAGAATAACATTTGTACTCGAGTGTTTGTTCACAATTTTCAGCACGAGGACAGGATGACATGACTCCAGTGCCACACTGATGTGACGGTCCAAGTGGATGTCAGTCCACTTTGGAACATTCTCTTGGAATTTACTAGCAAACATCAGAATTCTCATTTCTGATATAATCCAGGAGAAAACTGTGTAAGCTAGAGGCCAGTGAAATCTAAACTTCAGACTATAACTTTTGCATTTAACTTTACCCATTCTGGCTTCCTCTGCTTCAATTATCCTCCGGACAGACTCCTGCATTAACCGGACCTGTCACAACACAAAGGGCAGAGCAAAAATCAATCAGTGTCAGACACTGTGTCCAAAAGAGAAAAGCCCAGAGAGGAAACAGCTTCCTTCCACTAAGGGGATTAGTTATGGGAAAGACTTACTGCAGCTTCAGCCTCCTGCTTCTTCTGAAGGATGTCACTGGCTGTACTCTCCCTTTGCTTCTCCAGCTCTCTGGCATAAGGAAGTCAACATCACATCAGCTCTACACAGCGGAGTAGAGTGGCAGGTGCCACACAAAGTGGCAGATGTCTACTCATCCATCCCAGTTACAACCGACCCACAACCTCACACACACGAGCTTGGCTTTAAGGTTCTTCCCCACCTTTCAAGATATTTTTGTAGGCTTCCAGAATTCAGTATGCAGTGAACCACAGTGCCTCAGCTGGATATCCCAGCCCTTGCACCAGGAATCCAGAAGCACTTGAGCGGCACTTCCCAGCTCTGAATTTAAAACACAGTCTTGTGAGCTCACCTCTCCTTTTGTGCCCTGAGGTAGGGTTTGATGATTAGCCTGTGCATGGCGAAGTAGATAACTAGAGGTCCCACAGTGGCATAGAATACAGCACTGGGAAGCAGCTGATCTGTTAGGTGGACAGGGAAGAAGTAGGTCTGGCTAGCCCTATTCAACCTGGAACAAAAAAAGAACAGAGGAACAGGTAAGGGGAAACAGGGTTTACTGCACTCAATTAAGTACACTTAGCAGTGGCATATGCTGCTGAACAACTG